TTATGCACAGACAAAAATGAATAGTTCGGTCGACTGATGAACAGTGTTGGTCGACTGAAAACACTGTTCACAGATACTATTCAGCTGAAAAGATGATTTTGTAAAATTAATTAAAAATAATAAATCGATTCCATAAATAGTAAAACTTGGTGAAATATTTATATACATGAAAATAAACATGTTAAAGAAGAAAGTTTTGAAATATCATTTCTCGTTTGTGAAAACTCGTCTGGTTTGCAAAAAACAGCATGAAACCCGAAATACTAATTTCCTAAATTCAATTAGAAATAACAAATTAACTCCAAAATTAGTAAAACTTGGAAAAATGTTTGTATATATGAAGATGAATATGTTAGATAAGAAAATTTTTAAATTGCATTTTCCAATTGTGAAAACTCATGTATTTTGCAAACTGTTCAAGGATACGAAATCGTCAAAACTTGATTTTGATGAAATCATTCCAAACTAGTTTTGAAATACTTTTCAATAGATTAATAGACTTGAGGAAAGATATAAAATAGTATAAACAAGTCTTTAATCCATAAACATATTATTTTCTAAATAAAGATGATAAATATGAAACAAGTATATATGTATATGGATATAACTATTTGTTTCATATTTTATACGATTTAACTTGAAAGCTATAAAATAAAAATGTGTATGTGTTTAATATTTGAGCTTTTAAGTATAATCACACAAAGTATAAAAACTAAACTAGAAACTATATACCCAAGCTAAAAAGTCTTCGTTAAGCTTGTTCTTGGTAGAGGGATTGTAACAACCGTAATTTTTCGATACGTATTTTCTAGTATTTAAAATATTATATTTTATTTTATTAATATTTTCCCAATTTCTAGAATTTTTTGATTTTTCAAAATAAATAAATGAATAAATAAATAAATAAAATATATAGTCTTGTATTTATTAGTTCTGCTAAATATTAATTTATAGTTTACTGAATTTTTTTATATATATATAAATATTTGGTCACTGACATTATTAATGACCTTGTTATTATTGACATAACCTGAGCATAGTACAGTAACATATAAATATAAATATAAAGATTTTTTTTGGTTAATAATAATTTATTAATATAATTCTTATTCTGAATTTTTTATGTAAATATTTTCCATAATCTTTTTCTCCCTTAATTTTCTCTCTTTTGAATTCTTTCCATAATCCCTCATAATCAATCCCCTAATAACTATTTAACACATTCCTTTTTAATCCCAAAATTCTCTCCCTCTCTCTCGAAAAATTCTCCTCTCACTATTATTTTCTCTCTCTCACGTACACCTCCTCTCACATTATCTCTCTCTCCCCAAGAACCAGAACCCCATCTCCTCCTCCTTCTCTCTCGTTCACCAAACCCAAACCCCGCACCCATCACAGCAACCGCCTCCATCTCCTCCTCGCACCGTCCCTCTTCACGTCGCCGGGCGAACCGTCGACCGCGCCGCCAACCTCCGCGCCTGCAGCCGAACCCGCCTCCACCTCTCTGAGCCCGACGCCCAAGCCGCCAGTCTCCTCCCTGCGCGCCGCTCAGCCCGACGCCGAGATCTCCTGACCCGCGTTGTCTCACCCACCCGAACACCGCAACAGCCGCTCTCTGCCTTCGCCGCACCGACACCACGCTCGAGCCGCTGCTCCGACGACCGCCCCAGCTCCGACGTCTCCTCCCTATCAGCAGCCTCCTCCTCTCACCATCGAGCATCCACGTCTCAGATCCGCGACGGCAACCCCAGCACTACCCCGTTGTTCCTCCTCCGCTGCCCAACGTCGAGATCGCCGTGCTCGCTGTTCGACAACCCCTCTCTCCTCCCCGTCGAGATCCCTCGTCACCGCCGCCTGACCGACGCCGTCAGTCCTGACCCGCTGCCCCTCGCCGGAGTTCTTCCGACGTCACGCTGCACCGCGTCAGATCCGACCAGTGCCGTCAGCGTCAATTCATTCGACACAACCCGAGGCAAGATCCCTCTTGCCCGTTGTCTCGTTAATTTATATTTTTATCTCAATTATGAATTTATTACGTATATGCGTAGATTATTTTATGCTGATATGATTTTAATTGTGTAGTTGTTGATAATATCGCGGCGAATATATGCTGTGAAATGATGCTATGAATGATGAATAAGTATGTCAAAAATAGTTTATGGTTAATTTCGTGTTGTTTGAAAGGAAGAATATATTTATAGAGTATTTTTAGGATTATTTATAATGAGGAAAATATTTTAAAAGGGATTATTTCGAGAAAATAATTTATTTTGGATAAGGAGTATTTTTGAATAATTGTTATGATTAAAAGAATATTATTTTAAGAAAAAGAGTATTTTAGATTATTTTATAAAATATCATAGAAATCATTTATAAAATTAAAAGTATTATTGTTCATAAATAATAATAAAATATATTTTAAGAAGGTTATTCTAGAATTTTATAATGAGAGATAATTTTTAAAGGAAATTATTCTTGGAATTAATAACTGAGATTTTGATTTTCGTGTGTAAAACATATGTTAATGGTAGTTTCATCTTGCATTGTTAATAGTAGCTTTATTCTCGTATGTTTCTTGCATGTGATCACGACCCTGGTTCACACATCATGACATTGACACTTAGCGTAATTACATTTATTATTCCATGTTGAAAATCATGAGAAGTCTTGGTCCATGTGAGCGGTTGGGCTTGTTGATGTATATTCCAGGCTCGCGCCGGTGAAGTTTGTGTAGTCACTGGGGTGGGTCTGAGGAGTTGAGATATTTGTGATTGTGGTTGTATTCTAGGCTTGCGCCGGTGAAGTTTGTGTAGTCATCGGGGTGGGTCTGAGGAGTTGAGATATTTGTGATTGTGGTTGTATTCCGGGCTCGTGCCGGTGAAGTTTGTGTAGTCACCGGGGTAGGTCTGAGGAGTTGAGATATTTGTGATTGTGGTTGTATTCCGGGCTCACGCCGGTGAAGTTTGTGTAGTCACCGGGGTGGGTCTGAGGAGTTGGGATATTTATGATTGTGATCTATCAGTTATCCGATAATATGAGCCAGTGACCTGTTGTAGGATGACTAGTCACATGACTTAGATTCTTGGCTAAGTATGACTCTTGTGAGACGTAGATCAGTTGTATTTCTTTCCATACATAGATCGGGGTTAATATTTAATTATTTACAATTCGAGACATATGGTATATACATGAGGGTTTCCTTGTTTGGATTATTTCGCTCGACGTACTACGTCTCGAGTTGTAGATTTTTAAGTATTAATTCAATCTAGTGTATGACCTTGTTATTTAGATGTTGATTCTGATTTTTAGCTACATGATCTCGTCACCCGATTGATTTTTGGTTTCTTGATATGTTCTATTTCTATTTCTGTTATCGCATTGACCACGCATATGTTATTATTACTGTTATTGTATTTGTTCCTGGCTTGGGGGATCTTGCCGTGTATTATACACGCTGACGTACTCCTATTTTCTGGGTGTACGTCAGATTTAGGAGACAGACAGCCTCAGTTCGGAATCGTGCAGGAGCCAGAGGATTCTCAGCCGAGTGCCTTGCAGAAGGAGTAGAAGAACCAGTTGAAGCGTAGTGGTTTTCTTTCGTAAAGTAGTTGGACATTAAAACTCTTTTTACCGTACTTTTCTTTAGTTGATGTTGGATTTAGTATTTTATCAGTATTTTCTTTATGGACTATGTATTTCTTATTTCCTAGTTGGACTATTTTGTAATAAGGGTATGTTGGACCCATATTTTATGTCTGGGATGATTTACTGTTGATGATATGTCTATTCCTTATTCTGAGTTGTCTTTATATTCTTGCTATTGTGATCGGGGACCTGTGATTGAGATTTTGTATTCGACGCTTAGCGTATTGGATTGAGAAGAAAAAAAAATGATAGTGTATATTTCTTCTCAATCTAATACGTCGCGGGCTTGTTCATGTTCCGATTCCCTTGTATTTTGGGAAGCGGGGCGTGACAGGGATGAAGCGCGATATTAGATCTTTGACTTGAATGCGTAAAGGGCTTCAATCCAAATTCCGCCAACCTCCATTAGATATCATCGTGAAGGTGTAATTCCATCCAACCTCCAACAAAGGATCTTTGTGTAGGATCCCTAACAAGTAAACACAAACACTCGACAAACAAATGTTAGGAATTGTTTATTAATCATTAAAACTAGATTAGACAGTAGGCTCATAAACATAAAACCTAACAGTACTGGTTTAAGTGGGAGTATTAAAAGGGGTATTTTGAGGTTTTTACCATGTTTGTGTATAAATACAAGTGCTCTACCTTCTGTATTTTGGAAATTAGGTTTAAAGGCAATAACAAAAAGATAATTAGGTTTAAGAATACAAGCAATAGTGATTGTGTTTATAGGTAAAGTTGAGTAAACAAATAGGGCTAGAAATAACAACCCCCCACCCCAAAAAAAAAAACCATTTTGTTTGGCTATAAAGCCCATTAAAATAGTATCGATTCTAGCCCATTTAGAGGTCGTTTGGTCGGAGCAAAAAAATAAGAGGAAAATGATTTCCTTGTTTGCCTTCTTTTTCCCCCTCTTCTCATCACGCCTTTGGTAATCTAGGCCCCTAGGAGGGAGCGACAAAGTTTTACTACGTGACCTACTGAGCCACCCTAATTTTCTTGTTTTCTGTAAACATGATTTCAATCCATGTTTCTGTTTCTATTATTTCTTTGGAAAAGAAAAAGAAAAAATATCCCCTCTAAAAGTGGAAAAAATAACTCGCTAATCTAAGAGCGAGATATCTAGATAGAAAAATAATTTAACTGCAGTCTTCTGAAGCTCATATACTAGGTGAGTGAGATAATTCATTTTTTGCCATTGCTTAGATCTTCAGCGATATCATATCATCCTATCTCATATCTACTAGTAACAATTAAGTCCCTAATCAATTAACTTAATAAGAAAATATTAGATAATTAACTAATAAAAAGTCAAATTATCACTCTACAAACAAACAGATACATGTCTCATTCAGCATGATGGTCATTCAACTTTTGATCACAAATTGGAGAAGGTACGGCATAGTTAACATCAAGCTAGAAGAGCTCAACCAAGGATGTTTCTCTTTCTTCTCCATATACATATACAAATGAACCGAACAACAATATTAACAAAGTCTCTCGATACAAGTTAGACGTCTCTATATGAATCCTTCTGTTCAGTTCCTAACCCATCAAGCGCCCAACCTTCCCCTTCTCCATGACGGCAACGCTTCTACTCCTCGGATATACGGCCTCATCCTCGAACTCACGGTCCTCCTCGATCCTCCCAATTCCGATCCCCACCGCCACGCTCTGGCTCCTCGGCACCACGGCCAGATCCTTCGATCTTTTAGACGCAGCCCGTATCAGGTCCCGGATATCATCCTCCCCCGAACCAGTTCTGTTGTAGAACCCGTGGCTCTGACTTCGAGGCACAGACGACGCCACGACTCTGCCCCGCTGGGCCCGGCTGGCGTAGTTGGTCATCGTGTTGACGTACTTGTCTCTGGCCCGGACTAGGGCCCGGAACGGAGCCATAATATAGTGCCCCAACTTCTCTGTAGGCTTGGGCTCGCTGCTCTTCTTGCCCATTGTCAGAAGATTTTGAGAATGCAAATTGATGGTGCAAGAATTTGAATGTGTTATTTGAATTTATAGGGGGAATTAATAGAACTACGTGTAGATATAAGAATTTGATAGAGAAAGTCAGAAATGGACTCGTTCAATGTGAGCATTAAACGGGTCCGAGATAAGGACAGGGATAGAGAGAATCAGGCTATGATTGGGAGTGTTTAGGAGAAACTCTAATTTGTTGTTTGAATAATTAGCTTGCCATTGAGTTATGGTCAATATTTTCTTAAAAAAATAGGCAGAATTTTTCCACTTGTTGATTACAAAACATATATATATTTCTTTAGAAAAGAGATATTGTTCGTCATTCCATGGAATGATGAAGAAAAATTCTGTACATCCGTAAAAAATGGCTGAAAGCGAAAATTGCTCAATTTAATAATAGACTTGTCACTTCTAACTGTTTTCCCCCTCTCAAGAAAGAGAGAAGAGTCACCCCAACAAGAGAAGGAGGAGTGTTGTTGGGTCCAGAGAGATTAATATGTCAATTTGAATAGTAGCATATATAGCCACAGTTTATTTGAATTTTTATATGATTTGAAGGATAAATTGATTGATAACATGACAATATCATAGCAATCTAGATTTACGTTCCAAGGAGCACGTACGTACATAGGGATTTTAAAAGTGATATGATGCATGAATCTATATTAAGGATGTGAGATGGGAAACGAGATTCAGAAAGATGATGGAATAGCATTTGATATTTGAGATGTTGTTGATGTTAAATACCACACAGCTAAATAAAGTCACGTAGTTTGCAAGGGGACGTTTTCTTCTTCGACTTTACTCCTGATTTCGGACTTAGGATGATTGAGCAATCTACACACAAAGAGTCGTAAGAGGGCGGGGTTAAGTTTCCCATGTGGTACCTCCGACGATCAAGTCAATTGATGAACTTGAGCTTGAGTGGAGTAACATAACTATGTGTTCTTGTTTTTGTATAGTGCGTGCTCTTGGGGATTTTAGATTGCGAACCTCTGGCTATAGAGAATAGCATCTGCATTTATAGGGGATGCCGAGGCCAGATTGGAGACTTTAGGAGTGTGTAGCAAGACGGTAGTGAGGTGGTGATGAGGAGTGAGTTGAAAAATAAGTCATCATTTGCTCCACACGTGTTTGTTTGTGAGTAGCGGGAGATCACTTCGGCAGCATTGGGAGCCAACAGCCGACAAGTCTTCAAGACTGTTGAGGACAGAGACATAATGATGATCATCAAAGATTAATCAATGTTGAGAAGTGACGCCTATGCTGACAAGTTTGAAATAAGGGCAATCCTTTAGCTTCGTTGAGAAGAAAAGCCCATAGGGTAATATCTTTGAGTTGCTGACTCTCGTGTCGACTGACACCGCCTTTCGTGTCGACTCAGGAGTGTCGGCCTGTCCGGCTGGTTGGAATGTCGTCTCGTCTCAACTAACAACCATCTCTCGAGTCGATATAAAGATGTCGACTCGTCTGAGAGGTCAGGATCTCTCATGTTGGCTGTAGGAGTAGCGACACTGGGGTATCGGCTTGTTGGGCTGGTCAAGATGCTGACTCATTGTGTTATATATTCGTGGAACAGATATGTCCCATAACAGTTAGCCCCTTTAGCTTGGATTCGGCTTGGGCTGAATCCGAGCGAAGTAATAAAGATAATCAAAGGACAAAATAGGAGAAGAGATGGTTACATTTAAAGAACTTTACTAGATGACATCAACTGGCATCATCATAACTGTAGTAGGGCTGCTCTCCTGGCAGATTATGGGCTGTTCGAGGTAAAAGAGAGTGGCACGCTTCGTCTTTCGTGAGAATTTTGAATTCCGAGGATAGACCCTAACCATAAAAGGTAATTGAATCCAATGTCTCGAACTTTGACAGTTGTAAAGTTAGAGTTTGTTTTCGTTTACATATAAAATCACCATACACCGCTATCATCCTTTCAACTTCTTTTCTAATTAACTGTTCCTCTTCTTCTTCAATCTCTCTTGCCTATTTTCCTTGTTCTTCCCGCCAACTATCCTTCCGTTTATCCTTGGCTTTAGAAGTGGTTGATTGTTAGGATTTTCTGGAAAACATTCACTCCAAAGTGACCTTGTCCTAATTGAGGACGATGTCTACGAAGTTTGATATCCCCGGAGGATATGAACTACTCCTCCGACGAGCTCAGAGGCTATTTTCGACCATGGGCCTGAACAACATCCTCTCTACTTGAGACATCTGAAGTGCGGTTTAAGGTTACCTTTGCCTCCCTTTTTGAAGTAACTATTTGAGACGTTAGGAGTCTCGCCTGCGCAGATGAAACCGAATACCATAACCATCATTGTGGCATTCGTGGTTATATGTCATTGGTTGGTAATAAGGTCTACTCTGAAGATCTTTTCTCATTTAGTGGCCATGAAGGTAAATCAAAAGGATCCCCATTATTATTTTCAAATAATAGGAAAGTTCAAATTGATCGTAGATCTTCTCGATTCACACAAGGATTGGAAGAAAAAGTTTGTGTGGGTGATCAGGGACGATTTAGAGATGTGTTGCTCTGAATAGCCCAAGATAAGGAGAGATGCTCTTGCTAGAAGCACGCTGATTTCGGAAGATAAGAACCAACTCGATTTATTCAAGGGATTCGCAAGCTCTCGCCATTTTGAAGATCTACTCGATAGATCAGTCCTACGCATGATCGGGGTGTCAGTTGTGCCGATGGCTCCTCGAGATATAGATAGGGCTATGGTCCTCATCACCGGATTAAGGGAGACGACTATAGTGCCCACAGCTAGGTCAGTCGATCCCCATGGGGAGCCATCTATTAGGCCGGCTAAAAGTCTTCGTGAAGATTTTTACTCTTTAGGGGCACAGTCGGTTGGTGCTGAAGGTGCGGCTTCCCTCGCTCATAGGAAGAGAAAAAGAGAGGTGGGAGGAATGCTTCAAGCAAGGGAGGAAGAGAGGCAGGGTGAAATTGTCGCCTCAGGCGACTCGAGAGAGAGAACAATCATGAGAGAATCATCTGGAGCCCTTCTAGAAGAGAGAGATAAGGAGATGATATAGATCGGGGAGCAGTCATCGGATCATCATCAGGAGTCAACTTGACAGGGAAAGGAACATGCTTATGAAGAGACTGGGCCTTCTATCGGTCCAAAATATCCTTTTCCCCATAAATTCTCTGACATATAAGAGGGAGAATAGGACAAGATAAGAACGTGTCTTATTGGTCTTTCTTCACCTGGTGCCAAGTATGGGACAGAAACCGCACCAGAGTTCCACTACGAAGTTGAACGTCATCTCAATGCTCAGGGGACCGTCCTTGGATCTCGCCGAATTTAGTCTAGGGTGGTGGAGCAATTCCTCCTCCCAGAAGATGGGAAGTATCTGGAGAAGATGCCAGACATCGGTCTTCATCAGGCTCTTCGTAGCTATTTTATTCGAGGGGCCATTTTGGAAAATGAGATATATGGTCGAATAGAACATCTATGGACTGAATACCATAAGCTTCTTGGGGAGGTGAAATTATTAAAGGCTAACGAGAAAACGGGTCGACACTGGCTGTCGAGGGATTCGTTTCCAACACTTCTAAAGTCGCCAAGCATAGAGAGAAGTTAAATGAAGCGCTTCAAGAGAGGAATCAGGCTGAGGTGTTTTCTCGAGCAGAGAAAGAAGCGGCGATGCACACCAAGCGTCAATTAGACGAAGAATATATAACTATCACTAAGCTCCAAGAAGAGGTTAAACATCTTAAGTCTGCATCCAATGAGCAAGAAATTATGGATAAGTATTGCCAGGATGTCTTTGAAATTTATCGCCAAGATGCCATTAACACTTATCGTGAAAGCTTGCTTGGGAAGACAGAGGTGACTTTAGCTTGCAAGGCCGGATACGATCATTTATTAGCTCAACTCCCTGCCGATCTGAAAAGTATCCCCAATCACTTTCAATATCCCTCTTTGGTCGCCAATTGCTTAGGAGAGCTAGAGGAAATTAAAAGTGCTAGAAGGAGGATTTGACCTTGATGTGGCTAAAGATGATTCAGATAAAGAACATGACCGATCGTCTCCTCCACCGCCTACTCCTAAAAGTTCCCTACCCCTAACTCCATGAGCTGGAATGGGTGTTTCATAGGTTTTATAGGATTTCTTTCATTGTCATCTTGTAAATCTCATACTTTGTAATACTTGAGTAATGAATGAAAAATCTTTTGTTCTTCTAATCTGACGAAATCTCAAAATTTTCGTCGAATGAGTTTCCTTCTTTAAAAAATTGAAGAAATTTGCTAACTACTCTGAGCCGATTGATATCGCCTTTCGAGTCATCAGAGAGGGTGTCAACTGATTTGGTTGGTTGAGATGTTGGCTCACTAGATTATTTTTCTCTTTATTATATATTTTAAGAGGCTTTGGCCGCTGTTATCTGATATGACGCAATAGTTAGTCGGTTGGCGGAGATAATAATAACGCTTTGATTTTTTAAAATATAACGCGGGACCCCAGAAGGGATGTGACGTTTAAAATTTTAAATTTCAAAATGCTTGGGGTTATGAGTTGAATCTCCTCCGTTCATCTTAAAGAGTGACGACCATCAGGATAAGTCCATCTGGTAGTTGAAAACTAAAAATAACTTTTCGAGGAAGGAAGAAGAACACTCATTATTTGTTCTAATCTTCATAGTGTTTTTCCTCTTCTTCAAAATTTTCTTCTTCTTTCAAAGAACTCTCCATGGCTTTTCAAAGCTTCGTCGTTGGTCGTAACGAAGAGAAGATTAACCTTCTTCGTCCCATTCATTCAAAAATATTTGCAGGGAATCTCGAAAGATTCTATAGCTTGTATGATATCCCCAGGGGTATCAAGTTGATGGTTCCTAAGGGAGACAACCCAGTATATCGCCATGGTCCTAACAAAGCACTATTATACTTGGCCCATCTCGATCAAGGACTTCGACTGCCTCTCCATCAGTTCGTAAAGGAGGCATGCAGTGCCATGAGGATCTCTCTCTCAACTCGCCCTAAATGCAATAGG